CTCCTCCTCCTCCTCCTCTCTCTCCTCCTCCTCCTCCTCTCTCTCCTCCTCCTCCTCTCCTCCTCCTCTCTCCTCCTCTCTCTCCTCCCCTCTCTCTCCTCCTCTCTCTCCTCTCCTCTCTCCTCCTCCTCCTCCTCTCTCTCCTCCTCTCTCTCTCCTCTCTCTCCTCCTCCTCTCTCTCTCCTCCTCCTCCTCCTGTCCTCCTCCTCCTCCTCCTCCTCCTCTCTCTCCTCCTCCTCCTCTGTCTCCTCCTCTCTCTCTCTCCTCCTCTCTCCTCCTCCTCCTCCTCCTCTCCTCCTCCTCTCCTCCTCTCTCTCTCCTCCTCCTCTCTCTCTCCTCCTCCTGCTCCTCTCCTCCTCCTCCTCCTCCTTTCACTGTCATTACCTTAAATTAGTAGAACATGACTCTCTTTAACTTCACATCTCAACGCCGCCGCCGCCGTCAGTCACGCTCTGTTCTTTCTTTCCTTTTACTGAGAGGGGACGGCGGAGCCCGGGGACACGCAGTGACATTAATCACGCTCCCCCACGCCATCGATCGCCTGGACAACGGTTCCACTGATCAGCTGACCAGTTCCTGAAGGAGCAAAAAGGCCGTTCAGGGAGCAGAGCGCTCTCCTCCTCTCCTCCTCCTCCTCCTCTCCTCCTCTTCTCCTCTCCTCCTCCTCTCCTCCTCTTCTCCTCCTCTTCTCCTCCTCTCCTCCTCCTCGCTCTCCTCCTCCTCTCCTCCTCTTCTCCTCCTCTCCTCCTCCTCCTCTCCTCGCTCTCCTCCTCCTCTCCTCCTCTTCTCCTCCTCTTCTCCCTCTCTTCTCCTCCTCTTCTCCTCCTCTCCTCCTCTCTCTCCTCCTCCTCCTCTCTCTCTCCTCTTCCTCCTCTCTCTCTCTCCTCCTCCTCTCCTCTCCTCCTCCTCCTCTCTCTCTCCTCTTCCTCCTCTCTCTCTCTCCTCTCTCTCCTCCTCCTCTCTCTCCTCTCCTCTCTCTCCTCCTCCTCCTCTCTCTCCTCCTCCTCCTCTCTCTCTCCTCTCCCCTCCTCCTCCTCTCTCTCCTCCTCTCTCTCTCCTCCTCCTCCTCCTCTCCTCCTCCTCTCCTCCTCTCTCTCTCCTCCTCTCTCCCCTCCTCTCTCTCCTCCTCCTGCTCCTCCTCCTCTCTCTCCTCCTCCTCTCTCTCCTCACCTCTCTCCTCACCTCTCTCCTCCTCCTCTCTCCTCCTCTCTCTCCTCCTCTCCTCCCCTCTCTCCTCCCCTCTCTCCTCCTCTCTCTCCTCCTCCTCCTCTCTCTCCTCTCTCTCCTCCTCCTCTCTCTCCTCCTCCTCTCTCTCTCCTCCTCCTCTCTCTCTCCTCCCCTCCTCCTCCTCTCTCCTCCTCCTCCTCCTCCTCCTCTCACTGTCATTACCTTAAATTAGTAGAACATGACTCTCTTTAACTTCACATCTCAACGCCGCCGCCGCCGTCAGTCACGCTCTGTTCCCTCATTATTACCCACAATCCATTGTTGTGTACAGGTACAAATATTCACCGACTGCAGCAGGTCATGACAGCGAGATGTTCCCGCCCACGGCGAGCAGACCTCCATTATCCACGGAGCGATGATGACTCGGGTCGGAAATGTTCAGAGAAATTCACTCACTGTGGACGCCGTTTCCATGGAGAGGTCCGACGATCCGACCGCCGTCTTCGATGAAGTGGGTCCTGAAGGTTATCCAGGTGTCTGTCAATCAATCAGTGTCTCCATCATCTCCGAGAGCAGACGCTAACTTTAGAAACATCACTTCCTGTCGGGACGTTTTCATCTGTCCGTTTCTCTGGTGGACGTCCTGAAGAACCTGAAGGTTCTCCTCATGAACGGGTCGTCATGGTGCCGATCGGTCCGAAGTCCGAGTCCAGGACCGTCAGGTCTGTCCTCAAGAGGATCGAACGGAGGAGAGATCGGCATTTCTGATCGGCATTTCTGATCGGCATTTCTGTCACATTCAGGGAAATCACGAAGTCGAACCCCCAACCTCCACCGCATTTTCTCCCTCTCCTTGCTCCCTCTCCTTGTCTCCTCTCCTCCTTTCCTTATGTCCTTGCTCCCTCTCCTCCTCTCCTTGTTTCCTATTCTTGCCCCCTTTCCTCCTCTCCTTGTTTCCTTTCCTCCTTTCCTGGTTTTCTTTTCTTCTCTCCTTGTTTCCGATCTATGCTCCCTCTCCTTGTCTCCTTGCTCCCTCTCCTCCTCTCTTTGCACCCTCTCCTTGTTTCCTCTCCTCCTTTCCTTGTCTCCTTGCTCCCTTTCCTCCTCTCTTTGCTCCCTCTCCTCGCCTCCTTGTTTCCTCTCCTCCTTTCCTTGTCTCCTTGCTCCCTCTCCTTGTCTCCTTGTTTCCTCTCCTCCTTTACTTGTCTCCTTGCTCCCTCTCCTCCTCTCTTTGCTCCCTCTCCTTGTCTCCTTGTTTCCTCCCCTCCTTTCCTTGTCTCCTTGCTCCCTCTCCTCCTCTCCTTGCTCCCTCTCCTCGCCTCCTTGTTTCCTCCCCTCCTTTCCTTGTCTCCTCGCTCCCTCTCCTCGTCTCCTTGTTTCCTCCCCTCCTTTCCTTGTCTCCTTGCTCCCTCTCCTCGTCTCCTTGTTTCCTCTCCTCCTTTCCTTGCTCCCTCTCTATCCTGATGTCTTTACCGCCAGTTTTCACGTCATCTTGGACGGCGGTGTTTTTTAACGGCGCCGTTTTTCTCTGTCCCCGTCGCTCCAGCCCTGCTGACTCCGATAAAGAAGGTCGTCATATGTTGTTATGCCGACGTAAACACACGTTAAAAAAAACTGTTTTTAATGGAAGTCTATTGGCCGATCCGTGGATGAAGGAGGGTGGGCGGAGCTAAAATGACGGAGAACTACAGGAGACAACGACTCTCCGATCTTTAAAACTGAGACTGACGGCTCAGAGGAGGAGGAACCAGAGGGGTAACGCCTCCCTCCCTCTCCTCCCTCTCCTCCCCTCGCTCCTCTCCTCCCTCTCCTCCCGCTCCTCCCCTCGCTCCTCTCCTCCCTCTCCTCCCCTCGCTCCCCTCGCTCCTCTCCTCCCTCTCCTCCCTCTCCTCCCCTCGCTCCTCTCCTCCCTCTCCTCCCCTCGCTCCCCTCACTCCTCTCCTCCCTCTCCTCCCCTCGCTCCTCTCCTCCCTCTCCTCCCTCTCCTCCCCTCGCTCCTCTCCTCCCTCTCCTCCCCTCGCTCCCCTCACTCCTCTCCTCCCCTCGCTCCTCTCCTCCCTCTCCTACACTCCTCCCTCTCCTCCCTCTCCTCCCCTCGCTCCTCTCCTCCCTCTCCTCCCCTCGCTCCTCTCCTCCCTCTCCTCCCGCTCCTCCCCTCGCTCCTCTCCTCCCCTCACTCCTCTCCTCCCCTCGCTCCTCTCCTCCCTCTCCTCCCTCTCCTCCCCTCGCTCCTCTCTGAAGGGCAGGTCCCCTTTTCTAATTGATCTGCAGAGATTTCAGCGCGGTGGCGGCGGCGGCGGCGGCGGCGGCGGCGGCGGCGGCGGCGGCGTCCTCACGCTCAGAGCGATGAGAGAGGCGAGATTAGAGGTGGAAAAAAGGGCGGAGACAGGAAAGATGGATGGTCGTCTTCCTGCTGATACTGAAACACGGGGATGTAAACGAGGCGGCGGCGGCGGAGGAGGGATGTTTTTTAATGAGGCGACGCGGCGTGGACATCATTTTAACGCTCAAAAAAGAACCTGAAGAAGAAGACGGAGAGCGAGGAGACGAGGAGGAGGAGAACAAGGAGGAGAGGAGGAGAGGAGGGGAAGAGGAGGAGAAGAACAAGGAGAAGAGGAGGAGGAGAACAAGGAGAGAGAGGAGGAGAAGAGGAGGAGAGGAGGAGGAGAGCGAGGAGAGGAGGAGGAGGAGAGGAGGAGAAGAGGAGGAGAGGAGGAGGAGAGGAGGAGAAGAGGAGGAGAGGAGGAGGAGAAGAGGAGGAGAGGAGGAGGAGAGGAGAAGAGGAGGAGGAGGAGGAGGAGAGGAGGAGAGGAGGAGGAGGAGAGGAGGAGGAGGAGGAGAAGAGGAGGAGAGGAGGAGGAGGAGGAGAGGAGGAGAAGAGGAGGAGAAGAGGAGGAGAAGAGGAGGAGAAGAGAGGGAGAAGAGGAGGAGAGGAGGAGAAGAGGAGGAGAGGAGGAGGAGAGGAGGAGGACAGCGAGGAGAGGAGGAGGAGGAGAGGAGGAGAAGAGGAGGAGAAGAGGAGGAGAAGAGGAGGAGAAGAGGAGGAGAGCGAGGAGAGGAGGAGGAGGAGAGGAGGAGAAGAGGAGGAGAGCGAGGAGAGGAGGAGGAGGAGAGGAGGAGAGGAGGAGAAGAGGAGGAGAGGAGGAGGAGAAGAGAGGGAGAAGAGGAGGAGAGGAGGAGAGGAGGAGAGGAGGAGGAGGAGGAGAGGAGGAGAGGAGGAGAGCGCTCTGCTCCCTGAACGGCCTTTTTGCTCCTTCAGGAACTCGTCAGCTGATCAGTGGAACCGTTTTCCAGGCGATCGATGGCGTGGGGGAGCGTGATTAATGTCACTGCGTGTCCCCGGGCTCCGCCGTCCCCTCTCAGTAAACGGCGTCCTGATGGACCGCTCGACCCGACTGAACCGCCCCTCCATGTCTTCATCCTCAGACCGTTTCCTGTTCCTCCAAACCGTCACTTCCTCCGAGCGACAGAGCGACCCGATTCGCCGTCCTGCTCGCCGTGGTAACATGGAGGAGGTGGAGGCGGCGTTTCTGTTACCATGTCGGAAAAAAAAGAAAATCGGAGGCGGAAACAAGATGGCTGCCTCTACGACAGTTACTTTAGCGCCTCCCTTGTCCTGAGGTTGGCGCTAAAATAACTTTCGTAGATCTTGTTTTCGCTTTTTTCCGACTCGGTCACTGAAACGCCGGAAACACGGGTTTGACGCCGTTTTCAGCTCCGACATCGGATTTCTGAGGAAACTCGAACGCAGCGTAACCCGACAGACGATGACGTTTCACAGCCATGAGGAACAACCAATCGGAGCCCAGCACTTCTAGCCAATCAGAGGCTCCGCTGATAAATGTCAACTATTCGTAACTGTCGGCGACGTCGGACATTTTTAAACCGACTTTTTATTGCAGATTATTCCTTTAATACGTCTCCTCAGACAAACTTCGGATAAACACGTAAAAGTCATTTTAGAAGATGTTTTACTGCGCCTAGCGCCCCCTACTGACCAGCCGCCCCGGTCCAGACACCCGTTAAATACAGAGACTTGATCCAGGACGGACTAAACGAAACCAGATCCAGGTCTGAGATTCACGACGACGGACGAGATTTTTCCAGGACAGTCTCAGTTTGTCCACAGGGGGCGCCAAAATACAAACATGAAGTGAACGTCAGGAGCGTCACGTTAAAATTCAGCGAAGTTCAGTGCCGATCATTCTGAGTTGATCGGATTTGATGAAATCAGCTGTTCTGTGTTTATCTGATCAGCTGCTGCAGGTGAGAGAGAGTTCACCTGAGCCGCTCTGATCACATGACTCTCTAACTCACAGGATTAACGTGACGCCAGATCTGAAACAACACAGCCAATCAGGCGCTAATGGACCAACGGACGCCAGATCTAAATCCCTGATCTGCTCGTAATGAAACATTTATGAGACACTCTCTCCCTCACCCCTCTCTCTCTCTCCCTCTCTCTTCCTCAGCCCTCTCTCTCTCTCTCTCCTCCCTCTCTCTTTTCCTCACTTCATTAAAGAGGAGAGGAGGAGTAGCGCTCTCGTTTCTCTCTCTTTTCAGGATGTTGTGCTCGCTTGTCCCCAAAAACGAGAGTCCGTCACTCGGCTCGCTGTCACCCTCCTCCTCCCTCCTCCTCTCTCTCTCCTCCTCCTCCCTCCTCCCCCCTCCTCTCCCAGATTTAAAGTTATTTTAGCGCCTCACTTTTATTCGGACGAGGGAAGAACTAAAATAACTTTCGTAGATGCAGCCATCGTGTTTCCGCCTCGCACAGACACAAAATAAAACATCCGGCTTCTTTTCAAAATAAAACATCCGGCTTCTTTTCAAAATAAAACATCCGGCTTCTTTTCAAAATAAAACATCCGGCTTCTTTTCAAAATAAAACATCCGGCTTCTTTTCAAAATAAAACACTCCGTGTTTCAGGAGGATCGTATTTCACACCATGCAAACGGGCGGAGACGAACAAGTGAAAGGTTTTTAGACGTCATTTCACCCCGATGACACCATGGATGAGGAGATGCTGATTCTAGAAGTCTAGAAGTAGATTTCCTCCTCTGGAAGGACACAATCTACTGCTTATATGTCTATGTGTCTGTCTTTAGAGAGACAACTCGTTATCGTGAGATTGAACGTGAATCTGCGGGTTCTCGTGATCACCGCTGTCTGTAATCCACCATGAAATCCGCCGCACAAACGGCTCCGATAAAAATCGACGGACAGAGAAAGTCGGGGGTTCGACTCGTCATGTCTCAGAAAAAAGGAGGAAATGTCACGTTTGGTTTGAGCTCAGTGAAACGCCTCTTTTTCTTCCTCTTTCACTGACTCCTCTTCATCAGCCTCTCTCTGCATACCAAACTGTCGGAGCGCGGCGGCGGCGGCGGCGGCGGCGGCGGCGGCCTCGTCTCTGTAAACCTTGACGAGAAGTTCGATCAATGAGCAGAAACCTCGGCCGCGGCTCCGTCCAGCTCAATACTGTTTATGTCTGCCGGTCGATAACTGGTAACCTTGGACGTGGGCGCTGCGCTCGCCTTCATGGTGTAAAAACACGCCCTTCAAAATAAAAGCCTCAGTGTGAGAAAAACAGAGTGTTGTCGGCGTACGAGGAGATCCTGCAGAGAGAGGAGCAGCTCCATGTTCACAGTGAGACTCAGCGCCAGATCTTTGCTCCATGACACCCCAGTAACAAGTCACACCCCCCACCCACCCCAGTATCCGTCCCATTCAACAGGAGCAGGCGCCGCCACCGCCGCTCGCCACCAGCACTCCTCGCCCTCTGCCAGTGTTAAGCCCTTTTAATGACTGGATTTCCTCCGTTCTGCCAAGTTCTCGTGTAATTACTCGATGGTCGGCCCGCCGCCGTGCCAGAGACAGGGTGTGTGTGTGTGTGTGTGTGTGTGTGTGTGTGTGTGTGTGTGTGTGTGTGTGTGTGGCAGTGAATATCTGGCGTCGGCTGAGGCAGAAATCGCCACAGAGGAAGATTCCAGAGTTTAGACGGTTTGAACTCGAGTTTCACTGAGTGAAGAAAAACGGAGAGTTTCAGTGAGCGAACACACACACACACACACACACACACGCACGCACGCACGCACACACACACGCACGCACACACACGCACACACACACTTACATATCTGTGTGTGTGCGTTTAATCTCACTCTTCTCTCTAAATTCATTTTCGCTCGTCTTTCATCTTTTCGTTTCTCAAAATAGACAATAAAGGGTCTAAAAACAAGATAAATGATCTGTCCATGCAGCAAGATCATTTCACTGAACAAGATTTCTTGAATGAAGATTGTTCAGTCTAGAAATAATCATGTCTACAAATGTATTTGGAAGATTAAAGTCAGACAAACATGCTGGTTTAAGATCAGATGATTAAACTTTTACAACCCTAAAATCAGTGAAATAAACATAAAATAAATATAAAATAAATATAAAATAAATATAAAATAAACATAAAATAAACATAAAATAAACATAAAATAAGTCTAAGATTCTATAAAAAGTCTAAACTGCAGATTTTCAGGTGATTTTCTGAGACAAACAAAGAGAAGGTTGTTTGATAAATATAAAATATTCTGGATCTACGTTCGTTTGTTTGTTTCGGTAAAAAGGAGGTGTGCGTGTGTTTTTTTCTCCGTGGCGTTTTCAGGTCGGGCTCCTGTCAGCTGGAAAAGCGGATGGCTGCCCTTTTTTTCGCGCAGATATCGGTGACCTTAAACCTCCACATTAGCCGCCTTTTGTCTCAGCGCACAAAGATCCAGGAGTCGAGAAGAAAGAAGAAAACCGAGGAGATGTATGGTAATGTGGCGTCCGGCTGCGGCGAACAAAAACGAGGCCGAGAGTCGCAGAGATACATCAATCAATTAACAATTACCCCCGCCGCTAATCAGCTGTCCCCCGACCACGGCGCCTCCACCCTTTGTAATCCCCGTGGCAGCATCAATTAAATTCTTAAGGTTAGTCTATTGAATTTCCAGATAGAGGGGGGAGGACGGGGGAGGGAGGGAGGACGGGGGAGGACGGGGGAGGACAAAGACTGGACCAAACCTTCACCTCCATTCCTCTCGGAGGAGAGGTGAGGAGGAGGGAGGACGGGGGAGGAGGAGAGGTGAGGGGGGGAGGAGAGGAGAGGAGGAGAGGTGAGGAGGGGGGAGGAAAAAGAGTGGACCAAACCTTCACCTCCATTCCTCTCAGCAAACAGGAGAGAAGGAGGAGAGGAGGAGAGGTGAGGAGGGGGAGGAGAGGTGAGGAGGAGGGAGGAGAGGTGAGGAGGAGAGGTGAGGAGACCCAGAAAGTGTTCTCCTCCTCCTCCTGTGTTCTCGCCCACATGCAACATTTTTGTTCTCATTCATGAAACGCTTAAATCAGGGACATTTTCGGGGACAGCTTTAGCCGGGGACAGATCATCCAATTCAGGGACTGTCACCTTAGTTAAAAGCGCATGTTGAACAGTGCTATTTCAGGGTGATAATGGCATCAAAGATTAATTTTCTGACAGCGTTCCCTCCGTGATTTTGCAGCGGTGACGGTGTTTCTTTTGAGGTTTATGACAGATTTGAATTCTTCAGACTTTCTCATGATCGTCTCCTGTTCCTCGTTTGTAAAGTCCGCGGTCCTTCACTCTCCAGCCTGCTCTGACGCTCCAGACTGATCCATGTTCGCGATTGGTCAGATGCGGCGGGCTCCGCCTTATATGTGTGCACGCGCTCATAGCAGAGCTGGATCCACTTATGAGGTTGATGACCAGCGTCGTAAAACCGCTTAGCGAGACCGCTGGCTACCGCGCTAAGTTGAGCGAGGTAGCTCCAAGGCGACCTCGCTAAGTTGAACCTGCTTCGTAGAACAGGCCCCAGGTTTATATAGATCCGGTTCACATAGATCATGATCACATAGATCTGGTTCACATAGATCTGGTTCACATAGATCCAGTTTATATAGATCATGATCTCATAGATCAGAGAATCACACAGATGGTTAAACCATCTGTACGTTTATAAAGAACATAAATACAGATATAAAGAGTATAGATATCAACTGTACTGTACATAGATGTACATTAATATACTCTATAGATGTGTATGTATGTGTAACCCTGAGTCTGACTGTAGGCCTAAACCAGGGGTGGGCAAACTTTTTGACTCGCGGGCCACAATGGGTTCTAAAATTTGACAGAGGGGCCGGGCCAGGAGCATTTGGATGGAGTGTTTGGGCCGGACATACTAAAGCATTACATGTAGTGTGTGCAAACCTCATAGCACAGTAAGAACACTACAACCCAATTTATTAACTGTCTTTCAAATGTGAAAAATAGCCCTTTTCAGTTAATAAGTTTGTCTCAAGGAATATGCAAGATATGGCGTTTACATACTATTTTGCACGATACTGGGAGGAGGAAATGTAAATAGATTAAAATAGCATACGCACTGTGATTTATCAAGATTGCGTCTGTTTTTAATAAGTTTTAATCGAAGGTGCAAAGTTAAAGAAATCAACATTTATTGAAAAATGGAATCACTTTCAACATTCAAAACATATTATTACACAACGAAATACTCAAGCTCAATAATATATACTTGTGTTAAACCCCGCAAAATCATGGATGGATTGTCCTGACCGCGCGCTCTACAAACTCGCCACGGACGCCCTCACCTTACAGTACACGTGTATCGTTGCCAAGCACACAGACATAGGCTATATTAAATATCCTACCTGCAGCTGAAAATTGAAATTGAAATTAAGAGCGATGTGCGGTGTGTTAATTAAGCTACTGTACCGCTGCTGTGCGTAAATGCGCATTGCTCTTAATTAAAAGACGCACTTCCAAATTTTCCATATGCATTTTTTCATAACACAGCAGAAAAACTCACCAATTTCAGTGGGAACAGTGTTGTTGGTCTCCCTTTTTTGCCAGTGCATCAAAGTCTGGAGTTAGTTTTGTTGTGGCAATTCTCAGGACAGATCTGAGGTGTTGGTCAGTTAACTTGGATCTGTGATGGGCTTTGTTGATTTTCATGATGCTAAACGTCTGCTCACACACGTAGGTCGAGCCAAACAACACCAGCATCTTCTGTGCCGTCCTCCGGAGGTTTGGGAACGTGGTCTCGTTAAGTGAAGCGTAAAAGTCATTCAGTTTAAGAGACTTGAACTTCTGCTTTGAGACGGAGTCAGACTGAAGATCGATCAGTTCCAACTGTCCAACAAAGTGACTTCTCAATTTTTTCAAAATCACAGAACCGACGGCAAAATTCTCTGTGCAGGTCGTCCAGTGATTTGCAGTATTTCTTCGCACATCGGGCGGCCTCTTTCTGCACGGCTAGTGTGGGAAAATGTGCAAAAGATTTGTTTGACATTTGCCTGGAGAATAAAACCAGCTTGGATTTGAAGGCTTTCACATTTGTGTACATGTCGTGCACAAACTGATCTTTCCCCTGTAGCTTCACGTTCAGCTCATTCATGTGTGAAAATATGTCCACAGCAAACGCAAAGTCACAAAGCCAGTTTGTGTCGCTCAGCTCGGGGAATTCGTCGGATTTCCCCATTAACTCCAAAAATGAGCGAATCTCCTCTTTGAGCTCCCAGACTCGTTGAAACACTTTCCCAAGACTTAACCAGCGGACGCGAGAGTGGTAAAGTAGGTCCTGGTGATCCGCATCAGTTTCTTCCAGGAACGTAATGAACTGACGATGATTAAGTCCCCTTGCTCGTATGAAGTTAACAAGTTTTACAACTGGATCCACGACGTGATTAAGCTGCAATACAGACTTACACAAAGACTCCTGATGAATGATGCAGTGAAGAAAAATAACATCCTGGTCTGGGTTTTCTTCTTTCACTTTATCCTGGTTTCTTTTCAGCAGCCCGACGTTTTTTCCAGTTAAATTTGGCGATCCATCCGTGGTGACATTGGTAAGTTTACTCCAAGGTAGCTTCATTCTCTCGATGACAGCAGACACCTGTTCATATAAGTCCTCTCCTCGCGTTTTCCCTTTCAGTGATTCCATGCTCAAAAGCTCCTCCGTTATCTCAAAACTGTCGTTAATCCCTCGGATAAAAATTAGGAGCTGAGCAGTGTCTTTTATGTCGTTACTTTCATCCAGTGCTAGTGAATATAACTTAAAGGACTCCGCCTTTTTGTTTAACTCGCTGACTAAGTCTTCGTCAATCAATTCCACGCGGCGAGTCACTGTCCTGCGTGCTAAACTGATTTTTTCTAACTTGGCTTTGCTCTCCGGACACAGGAGACCTGCTGTCTCTACCATGCACTCTTTCAAAAACTCGCCTTCGGAGAAAGGCTTGCTAGCCTTTGCTAATTTGAATGCCAGCAAATAACTTGCCTTGGTACTTGACTCTTGAATTGCAGTTTGTCGGTGAAAAAAGTTCTGTTGACTCTGTAAATTAGCTGCCAACCTCTGAGCAGTAGCCACCCGTTCTTGTGTTGACTGCTTACTAGCAAAGTTTGCATGCTTCGTGGTAAAGTGACGGCTGATATTGTACTCTTTGAAAACCGCAACAGCTTCTTGGCATATCAGACATACAGCCGTTGATCGGACTTCAGTGAAAAAGTATTTTGTTGTCCACTCCTTATTAAACACTCGGCATTCGCTGTCCACTTTCCTTCTCTTTGGTCCGCTCATTTTCACAATAGGGCTCAAATGGCAACGTGAAACGAAGTGAAAATTAAAGTGAAATAAAGAGAAATACTTGCCACTCCAACAACGGTCAATGTGTTTTGAGTGCGCCATCTATTGGGGAAACGTAGGCATTGCAGCAAAAGGGGAAAATGAAGGAGGTTTTTACTGTAATTTGGACAAGTTCGGCGGGCCGGATTAAAAAGCCTAACGGGCCGTATGTGGCCCGGGGGCCGTAGTTTGCCCATGTCTGGCCTAAACTCAACTCCTTACAGCCTTGTTTCCTTCCTCCTCTCCTCTCATCTCCTTCTGTCCCCCTCTCCTATTTTCCTCTCTCCTCCTCTCCTCTCTCCCCCTCTCTCCTCGCTCACCTCCTCTCCTCTCCTTCCCTCCTCCTCTCCCCTTTTCTCCTCTCTCCCCCTCTCTCCTCCTCTCCTCTCTTTCCCTCCTCCTCTCCTCCTTCCCTCCTCCTCTCCCCCTCTCTCCTCCTCTCCTCCTTTTCTCCTCTCCCCCCAAAAACAAAGCTGAGAGTCTCTCTCTCTCCGTGTTCCTCCCTCCTCGCCTCCCCCGTCATCACGCCGCCCTCCATCAGCGCGTTGTCTGGCGGCGCGGCGAAGCGTGAACGGGCAGATTTTCCGGTAGCACAAGCCTGAGATGGGCTCCTCCGTCTGAGCGCGCTCGTTCTGCTGAGGCCTCCCGCCGAGTCGTCCACCGCCACCGAACAGACCGGAGACTCTGCAGCCCCAGGACACGCTCGCCACGGGGGGAGGAGCGGGGGAGATAATGAGAGGTGGAGGAGATGAGAAAGAAAGGAGGGAGCAGAGAGAGGTAAACAGAAAGCAAGAAGGAGTCGACTCCCACTGAGAGGGAGACGGAGGGGGGAGACAGAGAGGGGGAGAGTGATTGCTCGCGGCTCATTTCTCCACACATGAGCCCATCTGTACGGCGCCCAGGGTGGGACGGCGCCGCTGCTCCATCTGAAATGACTGAGCGAGCCAAAGACACCCCGGCGCCGCGGGACGCCAAATGCAATCCCGCGAATCCCGGGCTCCCCTATTATTCTGCAGAAAGACTCAAAGTGGCGCTTTTTCTCCCCGCCGCGCCGTGTTGATTTACCGCCGTTTCCATCAGGACCGCAGCTGACCGTGATGTTTGTGAAGGAGGGAGAGGAGGAGGAGGTGAAGGAGAGGGAGGAGGAGGTGAAGGAGAGGGAGGAGAGAGACTACTACTCCTCCTCTCTCCTCCTACCCTCTCTTTTCCCTCTCCTCCTCCTCCTCTATCTCTCACTCTTTCTCTCTCTTCTTTCCTCCTCCTCTCTCTCTGTCTGCTCCTCTCTCCTCCTCTCTCCACCTCCTCCCCTCTCTCTCTCCTCCTTCCTCCTTCTCTCTCTCTCCTCTCTCTCCTCCTCCTCTCTCCTCTTTCATCCTCCTCCTCCTCCTCCTCTCTCTCTCCTCCTCCTCCCCTCTCTCTCTCCTCCTCCTCCTCTCTCCTCCTTCTCCCCTCTCTCTCTCCTCCTCCTCTCTCTCTCTGCTCCTCCTCCTCCTCTCTCTCTCCTCCTCTCTCCTCCTCCTCCTCTCTCTCTACTCCTCCTCCTCCTCTCTCCTCCTCCTCCTCTCTGTCTGCTCCTCCTCCTCCTCTCTCTCTGTCCCTCCTCCCCTCTCTCTCTCCTCCTCCTCCTCTCTCCTCCTCGCCTCTCTCTCTCCTCCTCCTCCCCTCTCTCACCTCCTCCTCCCCTCTCTCTCCTCCTCCCCTCTCTCTCTCTCCTCCTCCTCCTCCTCTCTCCTCCCCTCTCTCTCTCTCTCCTCCTCCTCCTCTCTCCTCCCCTCTCTCTCTCTGCTCCTCCTCCTCTCTCCTCCCCTCTCTCTCTCTCTCTCCTCCTCTCTCCTCCCCCCTCTCTCTCTCTCTGCTCCTCCTCCTCTCTCTCTCCTCCTCCTCTCTCTCTCTCCTCCTCCTCCTCTCTCCTCCTTCTCCCCTCTCTCTGCTCCTCCTCCTCCTCCTCCTCCTCTCTCTCTCTCCTCCTCCTCTCTCTCTCTCCTCCTCCTCCTCTCTCCTCCTTCTCCCCTCTCTCTGCTCCTCCTCCTCTCTCTCTCTCCTCCTCTCTCTATCTGCTCCTCCTCCTCTCTCTCTCTGCTCCTCCTCCTCCTCCTCCTCTCTCCTCCTCCTCCTCCTCCTCTTCAGCTGACTCAGATATATCACCTCTCCTTTTCTTCATTGTGATGGACCAGGTGTTGCGTGTTCGTGGAGTGTGTTCGTGGCGTGTGTTTGTGGCGTGTGTTCGGCGTGTTCGTGTTGGTCACGGCCGTGTAATCCCACCTGCATACTAAACAGTCAGTTTGACCAATCAGGTGGCATCTCCCGGTCAGGTGACCTGCTGTTTCTCTTCTGATAAATGGCAGGTCAAGCTGGATGGTGCTCGCCGCCACATCCCTCAGAGCTGTGTCACCCGCTCTCCGACCAACCATCAGATCTCCTCATACTGCCCCCCCCACCCCCCCCCCAACTCTTCTGTAGTGACCCTCGCCCCCCCCCCAAGTAATATTATTCTGTTATAAGGACACTGTTATTATTTCACTATTATCATATTGTTATATCACACTGTTGTTCTTATTACTCTGTTATTATTACACTGTTATTACACTGTTGTTGTTATTACTCTGTTATTACACTGTTGTTGTTGTTACACTGTTGTTGTTATTGCACTGTTATTATATTGTTTTTATTAAACTGTTATTATTACACTGTTGTTATTACTCAGTTATTACTCTGTTGTTGTTATTACACTGTTATTATATTGTTTTTATTCAACTGTTATTATTAAACTGTTTTTATTACACTGTTGTTATTACACTGTTATTACACTGTTATTAGTACACTGTTGTTATTACACTGTTATCAGGACACTGTTGTCATTATAATGTTGTTGTTATTACACTGTTATTACACTGTTATTATTATACTGTTGTCATTATACTGTTGTTATTACTCTGTTATTACACTGTTGTTATATTGTTATTATTAAACTGTTGTTATTACACTGTTATTACACTGTTGTTGTTATTACACTGTTATTACACTGTTGTTGTTATTACACTGTTATTACACTGTTGTTGTTATTACACTGTTATTACACTGTTGTCATTATACTGTTGTTATTATACTGTTGTTATTACTCTGTTATTTCACTCCACACTGAATCCT